TTTGTCTTCTTTATTTGAATGATAGTGGAGAGGAAAATTTAAAAGGTGGTAAGAGAAATAATTAGAAATTACCCATAGGCATATGGAATGAAGCTGCCAGTGATAAAGGACCTCCGTGGCCCCTGGGATTTTTTTTCAGTGTGTTTTTGCAGGGTTTGTGACCTGGATCATAGTTTTCAACTTTGACGTGTCACAATGGAACCCCAAGGCTGACACTGGCAGTCTGTGTGGTTTCTTTTATCTTACTTGCTCATGTCTGCGACTCTAAACCTGATGACCCCTCTACCCTTGCATCACAAACTGCAGCTGTGTAGATGCCATTTCTTTGATCTTGGATATTCTTAAAGTGTCAGTGTCACATAATTAGGTGGATTCTAAGTGTTGAGTATCCTAAGAATTTTTTCTCAGTTTCACCCCTCATTTTATAGAAAAGAGGATTCCATGTTGAATATTTTACATTATGTAAAAGAACAAGGAGCCATAAGAAAGTTTAGCCTCTCATCCTGGGCTCTGCTCCTAAAACCATCAACCCTATAGAACTTTGTTGTCAGGGGAGGGACAAGGGTCAGCACTTTGTCTCCAGACATCACTGCTGATAGCACCTGCAGAAAGCGGCTCCAGAGTTATCCTTAGAAACAGAGAACAAAAAGCAGGAATTCATATTTGTTAGTCTCTTGGCTTGTGCAGTTAACCTACATGGGGTTTGTACTACCAAGCACTGGCCGGCCTGGTTCCTCTCACTGCATCCTCTCCCTCCTCCCTCCCCCCATTTAAATAAAGCAAGCAAGTGAGCAAACAAGCAGAAATTCATGCTTCCTCGAGTCCTGATGCGTAAAATATATCCTATATTTTCCTAAAAAATATAGCATTAAATGAAAAACTAAAGCAATATTAATGTAATGTTATTGACTAGTCTTAATTTCATTTGTAAAAATATCTGAATTTTCTGTGATGTTAGAAGAACCTCAAAAAATGCCTATAGCAAGAATGAGAGAAAATATATATAACACATGTTGTAGGAGAAGGCTAATAAAATTTTTAGCCAACACTAAAGATCTGAATACCTTAAAGACATGCCAACGGTGGACTTCTCGTTATACAGAAGAAATGTGAATGTCCAAGAAACAAATGAAAATTTGCTTCAGCTCAACACTGACTCTGAACTGGGATACCGTCTCTGCTATCACACTGTCAATACTAATTTAAAAAGAATGAGAGAGTGATGGCAGTGTTAACATGACCACTGCACAGGAAGGGCAACAGGCTCTCGCACACTGTTGTGAATATGCATTGGCCCAAATCTGTGTTTCTGGAAGTTGTTCAGTTAAAACAATCCAAATCTAATCCAAAATAAATTCTACTGAAATATAAGGTATTTGTGACCTTTAAACTTAGCTTCAGTTACCTGTTAAGAAATAGGCATATTACTACTAAAGACTATATACACATATGCAAGATACATCAATGCATTATCAAGTGGCTAAGAATTGCAAGCAACATGAAGTTCTGTTCCTAGGGAAATGGTTAACAAAAAGACATATGCATGCTGGCAGATAGTATATTACTGTGAAAAAAGCAATTAGTAGAGTGATGTCTATAATAGGATCCCATTAGGGAAAACAAAATAGGAGGTTAAAGAGGTGTGTGTGTGTGTGTGTGTGTGTGTGTGTGTGTGTTTAAGTGACCGAGGTAACACTGTTAATATTGATTACTTTGAAAAATAAGTGGCAGGCAGCAATGGAAGAACTAATTTTAAAATAAATTCCTATATGGTTGGTCTTGTTAAAGAAAAAGCCTAATTTTTGTAGTGTAAAACAAACAAAAACAATTTAAGAAGTTAAAAAGAGAAAGATGAAAATGGAGGAGCCAAAAGCTTGAGACAGAAAATCAGAATCATGGTTTTTAGAATTAAAAAAGGAAGAAAAAGAGAGACGATCCCTTGGAGACCAGTGGCCGTCCCTGTGGTAAGCTGCCAGAGAGCAGGCGAGCTGAAGGCAGACGCTCTCTCCGTGTAAGCAGGTGTCCTGGGACGTCCATACATTGAACCAACACAGTCCTAGGTTATGCTAGTAATCCAGGACAGGGCTTTTTTTTTTTTTAACTCTTTCCACTCATGACTCCTTTTTACCTGATAACTTCTTATACATCCCTGTTTATAAAGCTATATAAAATATGTTTACATATCAAGCACTTGTTGATAAATGTCTTAAGAAAATATGTTTCAAAGAAAATTTTTGGTAGACACGTAATTTTACAATGTACTTAAATCAAAAGCATATTTACATACTGGTGAGATGGTGCGTTTGTTTATTTTTACATAAAAACGTAAGTCTTGGGCAAATATTTGAGTTGATGACCACTTTGATCCTGTCACCTTCAATGTTGAGGATACATTTTTGTATAGTACAAGGCACAGAATAGCAGAAACATGGTTAGGGTCAATTGAGAATTGTTGAAAATTCTGTCCTAACCCCAAACCACAATTAATTGAGACTTTTTTAAAAACTGAAACTCAAGTCAGCAATTCAAACAACAGTTCTTAAAATCAGATATTATAACTCAGTAGAATCCCAAAATACACTGATTTGGTACTTGCTGAGGAATGTTGTAGAAAAATAGTCTTTGTTTTTGTAATTAAGTCATTGTGTTTGTATAAAATCACTATAGCTCATGACATGCAGTGTCTCAAGTCTGAGCTCAGCGGTTTCAGGACATATTCCTTGGTATGTGTGGGATGATGGGATACACAGTACAGGTGTGCAAGTTGTATGTTAGAACCAGGACATGAGGTCGCACATGCTTCGTGGACAAGCTATGCTCAAAACACCTTGGATGAACTTTTACATTTGACTTTGAATTAAACTTTGCTTATTGCCTGTTCAGAAACTTTTTCCTTTTGTCAAGATTTTTGTGCCTCCCTCAGTTTGTTACATTGAGCCTACGTAGAGCCCAGTATGATTCTCCTCCTCTCCTAGTTTCATCTGTGTTTCATCCAGAGCAGGCCATTTGACTCAGCAGAAAGGTCTGGGCCCGTTAAGGCATCCGTTTTACAGTTCGTCTGCTGGTTTCCACATACTACAAGTGCTCCATGGGCCTGTGGGCACAGACGCTGAGTTATGTGCTCTCCAGCTCCAGTTATATCTTTGGTGTTTGAACCCAATGGGAACTGTGCAGGCTTGCTTCCTGCTTATGGTGGGGCTCCTGCTGTAGCTGGTGTCAGAGAGTAAAGTTGTTGCCTCTGTGAGGCAGAGGCAGGGTGCGGGGGTGGTTCACTTCAAATTACATCTCTGCCATCTTGACCAGATCTTGTTCACCCTTATTTGGAATTTGCGACATTCTTGTATAGCCCCCATTCTGACTTTGGAAGTAAAGGACTGTCCCTTTGAGCAGCTTTGAGGCAGAAGTGAGGTATGGTGTGGGTTGTTGTTTGGTGTTTCTCAGCTTTCTGTGGTTGCTGTGCTTCTCAATGTAGCCCCTCATCTCATTCAGGCAGCCAGAACTCTCCGGTGTGTCCACTGGGCTCTAGGCCAGTGAGCAAATTCTGTAACAGGAAGAAGTAGACACGGGGCCAAGGCCCAGGCAGTGGAAAGCTCAGCCATGGAGATGGCTGTAGCCAGGGTAACCGACATATTCCTACCTAACCCTTGCTTCTTATTTCCTCCTAATTTCTATTTTTAAAATATATGAGAGACTTAACGGTCCTTGTCCCTGTGTATACGTGTCACACATGCACAGTGAGAAACTAGGATGGATACTGAGGATGTCCACGCTGAGCAGTATGTGTGTTGACCAGCTTCCCAAGATGCGGGAAAGAGTGGGATTTGGGCAGATGGAGGCCTCTGTCTGAGGCTCTCAATGCTCACACACAGTTCAGGCCTAGGCTGGGACCCTTTCCTTTTTTGGCTGAACCTCCTACCCCCAGGACCTGTGAACTGATTGAAAACTACAGGTCAGTTTTTACCATTCCCTACCTGAAAATGACATCCAGTTCTAGTGTTTTAGGTTTTGTACTTGACTTGCAGACACTGCCAGGTTACTAGGGGTTATGGAAATGTGGTATATCAGAATAAGGTTGATATGCTTTAGCGTTACTCTGATTCAGCAGCATCAGAACTCTGGCAGACAGCTTGGTACTTGGCACATAATTAAAAGTTCCCAGATTTGATTCAGTCCACTTCATCTGTGCATTATCAATACTTCATCGAATTAATTCTGACATTCAGTTGTGAGTCTGACCTTCAATACTAACCAATTCAGTTAACCACTAACCTCCAGGTGTCCTCTGATCAGCAGTTGTAACTATTGGATTAATAGGGAGTTTGTCTTAAAACATCCTCGTAACTGGACATGCATGATAAGTGTATGCTGCAGTTCCCAAGTGATTCATCCACCCTTAGTTTGTTAAAGTGGATGTGCACCTATCCCACTCGGCCTTTTGTTTATGTAGTGGCTGGTGTATTTTCTATTTCACAGAAATATACTTCCTCTGGATTCTTGCTATTTAAAAAACTTATAGCATATTACCAAGGTAGGTATAATGAGGTTATTTTAACATCTTGCTGGTGTTCTAAGATATAAGTTATGTTTTTAGAAATGTATGTATTGGATGTGTTAACTCTGCTTCTGTCTAATCTGCTACCATCACATTCATTCCCCTACTTGGAAACAAGTGAAATAGTTGAGGACTGTGTGCTTTATTGTGGTAGGCTTTGATCAAGAAGTTGAACAGGCACCAACCTTGAGGAGTGAGACAAGGGTATGCTGGACCATAGAATGAAGACAACTCACGGCCATGGTTTCATGCCAGTAGGCTGTGAGCTCATCACTGGTAAGATCCTAGAGTAAGCTGGGCATGATGGTATAGGCTGTAGACTTGAATTCTGGGAGGCAGGAAGATCTTGAATTTGAGGCCAGGCTCAAATTTTGTGACCCAGTCTAAAAACAAACCCGAAAGTGTTCCTAGAACAGGCGCTCATATTGTTTTTCACTTCCTTTCTAAGGATGTAAATGAAGACCCTGGAGAAGATGTGGCCCTCCTTTCTGTCAGTTTTGAGGATACTGAAGCCACCCAAGTGTACCCCAAGTTGTACTTGTCACCCCGAATTGAGCAGTAAGTGTCAGTGTCATTGACCTGATGAGCCAGATGCTTCTACTTAGTAAGCCATATGTCTCACTTTTATGAAGTGCGAGCTCTTAATGTTTTTTAAGTTTTCTTTTCTCAGAAATTTGTTTATTTAGGGACTTTTTTAAAGATGTTTTTCTTTTGTGTGGACACAAGTCTACACACCTGAGTGTAAGTGCAGCACTTGAATGGACGTACCAACAGAGGCCAGAAAAGGGCATCAGGTCCTCTGGAGCTGGAGTTAAAGGCTGTTGTAAGCTGTGTGCTGTGGGTACTGGGATTTGAACCAGGCTCTCTGCAGGAGTAGCCAATGCTCAAGTGCTAAACCGGCTCTCCAGCTCTGGGTTGAAAGCATTGGTAGCACAGTACATGCAGATAGTATTTGCAAGTTTGATTGTTTAGTGAATCTTATTAATGCAATTTATAGTCTCCAATTGCGCCTCTGAATCCTTGAAAGAATTGTAGGTACACCAAGTCCAAATTGCTACTGTCTTGGGGTGTCCCCATGGGGAAGCAGTAGCTAGAGCCTGAGGAGGCCTGCTGAATAATATCTGGCCTAAATTATATATTTGAAACTGTCAGAGTTATTTGTGAAAATATAACCAGTTTCTTTAAGATATTAAGCAAAAAATTAATCAGGAACTGATAAAGGTAATATTAAAAGTAGATATTTTAAAATGATCATGTTTGAGGTCTTTGTTTAAATAGCTCTGGATGGTTTTATGTGATGCCCAGTCACACAGTACAAACAGTTTGCTATCGTGCTTGTGTCTAACCAAGTAACTTCTCATTAGTAATGAGTTTCATAGACTCCCTTTATAATGTGCTTATTGTTGGCTAAGTGCTTTAGTAATTTATTCCACTTCAAAGGATGCCGAGGTTCATTAAAAATGGATCATAAACAGATTTGGTTGGGAACTTCTGACAAGACACATTTTTCATCAACAGAATTTTTTGCAGGTTCTGACTGAAATGCATTATTAGAGTTCCCTGTAAGTCATTCAGTCCACGTTGGCAGATTTCTGTCTGAGACTAGATGTGCTTGTCATCTGACATTAATATTCTAAGCCGTCTTCATGCCCTCTGACCCCAGCTGCTATAAGTTGTGAGTCATGGACACCCCATCTTACAAACTGATAGGATGCAGCTGCTTCTACCCAAATGTGGGAGATTGTGAAAGTCTGTAATGTACTGGCATTCTCTCGTTTATTTTTCTATCTCTAATAACAGCTAGAGTGGGATGTTTTACAGTAGCAGCACTGTATTTTGCCCTGCCCAGTGCATAAATTTTTAACTTAAAATACTGACCCATGTTAATAAAAGGCCATATAAGCTGGAGGCAACAATGCAGCATAAGAGAAAGAGGTTCTAGAGTCAACCAGAGCTGCATACACCTGGTTCTGGCTCTTAGCAACTAGTGAAGTATTAATGCCTCGGATCTTATTGTTTATGAAATAGAGATACTGGTGCTTATTTAATAATGTTATTTTTAGAATGATATTAAGTACTGTTCATAGAGCATTAGGTGTAGAGCCTGGTACTGGGACAATCCTCAACAGATAGTAGCTATTAGTGCTGCCATTTTTCATGAGCGCTCATGGCAGAAGAATGAGTGGGTGGGTAAGTGACAGGGAGAGTCGGAGGAGAAATGGAAAGGATGGCATGACGTGAGCACGCACTGGTCATGGACACTCAGTATGAACTTAATGAGTTAAATTCAGATGTTCTGGTGATGAAAAAGTGAGAGAAAACCATCCCAAGATGTCTGGGAAATGAGTATGTTAGCTAACTATAAGCGGGTAAGGGTCATTGCCTTCTCGGAAGAATGTTGTTTGGTGGCAATTGGGGTAGAATGTAGGGGCTCACACACATTGTGCAAGGGCTCTGCTGTTGAGCTGCATCTCCAACCTAGTGTTTATTGTTGAGTTAGAAATCGTTTCTTACTAAGTTCCCCAAGCTGGCCTTAAAGTAGCCCAAGCTGGCCTCGGACTTGGAAATCCTCCTCCAGCTCCTGAGCTGCTGGGATTGCCAGTCTGTGCCACTAAGCTTAACTAGCAATATTTTTGTTGTTCGCCTGAATGGAAACCAGGTTATTTCTTTGGAATGACTTGCCTAGTTTGCAATAAAACATTCTTATTCTAAAAACCTAAGATGTGGTGAAACAATTGAGTAAGGAAAGGTATATTTTAAGTCACTTTTTCTATTTCTAAAACCCAGCGCTTAGGCTGGATGTGGTGGCGCACACCTTTAATCCCAGCACTGTGGAGGCCGAGGCAGGCAGATCTCTGTGAGTTTGAGGCCAGCCTGATCTACAAGAGCAAGTTCCAGGACAGCCAGGGCTACATACAGATGCTCATCTAAAAAACAAAGAGAACCCCAGCTCTCAGTGTGCCCCTCCTTATGCGGAGGACTAGCGATAACAAGTTTCTCACCACTTTTCTGTTGTTCCCCTCACCTAGTCTGTCTTTTCAGCTGAAATGTTCTCAGTTCGTCACCCTTGCTACTATGTCTTCAGTGTCTAAAACTGTTCCTCTGGTACACAGTAGTCTCCCCATCCTGAGAAAATGCACACATTCTATGGCTTTGCTCAAATGCCCTCAGTACCAACCCTGCCTCTGAGTGCTCTACCCTCCGCTATCATGCAAAATTTGTCTTCATCTTACCATCTGCCTACATGTGATGGCATTTCCTTAATCCTTTGCTGAGCTGCATGCCCCTCAGATTGATGAATATGTGCACCATCTCAAAGTGCCTTGCACAACAATGGCTTAATTTTCACAGTCTTATAAGTTAGTATGTAATTCTCACCCCCAAATTGAAATGGTTATACTGAAAGCTTTAATACATAGTCACCTAATGTAACTATATATATATATATATATATATATATATATTTCTAATACTAAAGCAAACAGCCAGACATTCCTATATCTTCAAGTAGAAGTTTTCAGCATGAGAGTTTAGAGAAGTGTTACAGTGGAGAGCACTTTAGGTCTGACTCTGTGAGGGCTTACACACTTGCTAAACTGATTTCAGTAGTGCCCTAACCTCTTATCTGTGGTTGCATGTCATGTTCTGGGGATCCCATTTATCCACAACCCACTGAAGTCTGAAAATATTAAGTGGAGTTGTTTAGAAATAAACAATTCATAAGTTTTAACTTGTGCATCATATTAAGAAGCTTTATGAAGTCTTGTGTGATCCTGCTCCGTCTTGCCTAGGATCGGAGTCACCTGTTTGTCCAGCTTTTCCATGCTGTACATAGACATCTTATCAGGTTTGCTGTCATGGCTTCACAGTGGCTGTGGTCGGAAACCCTGTTTTACTTCATAATATCCCAAAGTGTAAGAATACTGATGCTGGTAATTCAGACATGCCAGTGAGAAGCCCTGGCTTGCTTAAGGTGATTTCACTTAAAGTGGAAAGGTGAAAGTTTTCAACTTGGGCTGGGCATGGGAGCTGGGCACAGTAGCTAGGCATGGTGCTACATGTGTTTAAATCCCAGCACTTGGGAGGCAGAGACAGAAGGAGGATCTCTACAAGTTTAACGCCATTGGGTTCGCTCAGTTCTGCAGTAAGCAGATCTTGTTTCCATGAAACTGTGGAGGAGAAACCCGTGCTAGTTTTCTCTCGCACGTTAGACCGTAGAAGTTGCTGTTGTTCTGTTTCATTGTGGTTATTGTTAATGTCATACTTTGTATTTCTAAATTAAACTTTGTCATAGTTCAGTATGTATATAGCAAAACCTAGGGTATTTGTGATTCAATCACAATTTGCCTGTGTTATTTGTCTGTGGTTTAAGGTATCCGCTAAGGGTCCTGGAGCGTATTCTTCATGGATAAAGGGGACTGTTGTATCTAGATAATTCTTGCATAGTTCAGAGCATAAAAGAGAAATAATATCATTTCAGAAAGGCGATGGCCATGGGATAAGTTTTCAGAACCAAGTGAAGGGGATTAGTATTATCTTGGACATTGTGTTAAGCTTTCACTTGCTCCCTATGTTTTGTGTTACCCAGCCAACTCTCAGTTGTGGGAAGGGCATCCCTAACTAGACTTGCCTGGCTATAGCCTTTGCCGAGAATCTGTTCTTTCAGTTTCTGCTATGGTTCTTTCTGAGAAGTTCCAAGCTCCAAGCAGGATATCTTAGCAAGCAGAATCTCCGGGAGACCAAAAGCCTGTTACACATTATTTAAAAATGGTCAAAAGAAGTCTAGCTTCTCCACCTCCCAGCACATGGGCAAAGGGAAATTCCAGGCCTGTCTGGCTATTATCACTCTGCCTCAGCTTGTCTGTGCAGTAGGCAAAGATATTAACTAGTCCCAGAAATAGAAATAGAAAAATACTACTTAGGATGTTGTCATCACATGAAGGAAAGGGATCAATTTGTTATACTCTAAAGAGTTTAACAATATGAGTACCAAATGTCTCCAAATTAGACAATCCCCATGGAAAGGAACATCTGTCAAATACATTGATCAGAAACCCCCAAGTATATTATGATTTTATGATGTTCTGATATTTATGTTTTTCCAGGACCCAGGAATAGTTGCCTGGTGTGGTACAGCCCTGTTGCACATGGCTTGCATGCCCTCGTGATGCAGAGATGCCTATTGTTTTCAAGCCTCCCACTGTGCATGCATATAGGTTGAAGAATAAACACTTCTGAGAAGAACTTTGTGTTCTTCATGCATGAGGGACATTTATGAAATAAACACATTTTATGTACTATTTACATTTGTTTTCTAAGGAATCAAAACCAGTCCTGTGACTTAGACTTTAAGTTCTGCTTGTTGAGCTAATGGAGCCAGGGTGAGTTACACTTAAAGAAGGGTGAGGACAGTGAGGAGGATTAGCTAGTGGTCGGAAATGCAAAATATTAGATTCTGGTTACATATTAGAAAAGGGAAAAATCATTTCTAAACCAGTTGCCTTGCTTTTTCCTGGCAGAAAAGCTGTGAATGCTAAGGTTACATCATCAGAGCTGGC